AAAAAAAAAAAAAAAAAAAAAAAAAAAAAAAAAAAAAAAAAAAAAAAAAAAAAAAAAAAAAAAAAAAAAAAAAAAAAAAAAAAAAAAAAGACAAATAAACAAAAAATATATTTTCCAAGACAAAGAATCCAGCATGCTGCACTATTTCAAACAATCCAGACTTCATCTGACAGAAATACCAGGGAGCTGTGACTGACACTTTTTGAATATGTCAGAAGCTCCTTTTTTACTCTTTGCTTTCCTGCCTTGCTCCTTACTTGTTTTCTTCTGCCCCAGCATGGGGATCCATGGGCTGTAGTCCCTCAGGGTGTCCTCATTTTTTATTCTTTAACATTTAAAACTGGATATTCTCCTGCTGTTTTCCTAATTACAATTTCCTCCAAGAAACTATAAAGGCTACTTTGAAGGCCTTAAAAACACTGAAATAATTTTGCGGAAGGATTGATCTGTATACCAGTCCTTTGGTATATATTTCTTGACAACACAGATGGAGAGATAAATAGGTGAAAGTCATTTCTATAGTGCTTCTAGAAGCATATCCAGGTTTTAGATTCTTGTTCAACTAGTTTCTGAGGATTTGACTTGAGATTCTGTTGATATGTTGTACATTTAAAACCAGAAGTCTTCAAACCACAGTATAGAATGACATAAAAATAAAATCTAACATGAAAAAACTGATATTAAGCACATTCTTTGGTTTCAAATAGCAGCAGAAGGAAATACATTGTACTCTACTGTCCTTCATTAGATGCACAATGAATTAAAACTGTGCAATTCAGAGCACGAAAAGAAAACATGTTTTAGTTCTCTTCTGAGTAAGTGACAGAATTACACAGAATCTCATGAAAAAGCAAGAACCTCAGGAGACCTCCAGATCAACCTCCTGCTGGTAGCAGGGTGAGCTGTGATGCCAGACCAGGTTACTGAGGGTTTTATCCAGCTGGCTCTTTAAAAATTCCCAGTCATTGTTCTCCAGGACTGCAGAAGCCTTCTACCTTCTAACTATAAAGTTAGGAAATACAGTGTATGCAGCACAAAAAATTCAACTGCATCAGTTAGACCATATTTAAGTATCTGTCTGTGTTAAAGTGTTGATTTACTATGCAAATATAGAAACCCTGTCACTAGGAAGTTATGTTAGGCTGAAAGAACCTCTCAACAAGTCTTGCAATTTAATTAAGCAATGAAAGTCCATATTAGGATTCTTTAGTGAAATAGAGCACCATCAAGCGGCAAAATTCTCTTATATTACTATTCATGCTTATACCAGAAAACAACATGTGGAATTAAACTGTAATTGGTTCTTGAAAGAATGCTTGCTCTACACCATGACATTGCCATTGTGTGTGTAGCACTGCATCACAGAAGCAAAGCCCAAAAACTGTTGCAGTAACTGATGACAAATAAGCTACTGCATGTTCTTGTCCTCTACAGTTTACAAATACTACATTAATAGAATAAAAATAAAGACAAGAACATACCACAAATGGGATTCAGAAATCCTCACAAGCAGAAACTGTGATCTCAGATAAATGAGGTTTAAAAAAGAGAAGACTAAAGCCAATTTAGGTAGAAAGATAAGATGACAAATGCAGAAAGAGAAAGAAAAACATTTATACTTACTTTTGGCAATGCATATTTTGGCAACTTCATCTGTACAAAGCCATTTCGACGGTAAGACACGTAATACTTGGTCCGATTTGCTGATGTTGTCTGTACAACGGAAAAACAACAGAACCCTGTGATAGCTTATGCTAAATCTAAAGAATCTGAGATGGAACTTTTTCTCTTAACCTGCAACTGAAATGTATCCCTATTACTTTTATTGTATGCAAATAATCTGCACGGCAAACTGTTCTTTTCTTTAGGAAGAAAAAGGCTATTTACTTCCTTCTTTTGCCATTTCAGCAGTTTTGGGTGATACCTGAGACTTCAGCATCTCACTGTCCCCACTCCTTACCAATATCTTTGCACCCAGTGGCCTCCCACATCTTTGCCCTATTGCAGAAGTCAGGGCAGCAGCACCCTTTAGGTGAGAGGCAGAGAGGAGGTACACTGGCCATGAACAGCAGGTACCCCGAGGGCAAGTAGTACTCCACAGCACACTTCAAAGCAGAGCACAAATCACTGAATAAATCATGCTAATGTTATGTAAAGCATTTACTATATCTGACTAATATTTTCTATACAGGATAAAACATTTCCCAGTGCAAGATGCTGACATGTCACATGGAAGATAAGGATGCAATTTTGAATCCATTGGTTGGCCAGTTTTAAACTCAGTGATATGTTCTGAAGACACAATTATATGCTTAGATAGAGAGGTCTGAGTATAACTTATACAGCAATATTTTAGTGTCATGATAAAAGAATTTCCAAATGGTTTCAAAAGCATGTCGTTTCTCAGATATACAGCTGCTGTGAGGTTTCACTGGAACAGGTAAATACTACATCACACCTCTGGGGTGGTTGCACTTCAGATGTGTCTGTCCGATCCCAGAGTTATCTTCTAACGTCCAGTAACACGGATATGGTTAACTGCAAACCAACTTAGCAATAAAATTTACGTTACATAGTGTGGTTCACTGCAGTTAAGTCTGAAAGCAAAAGACTGGAGATGTTTCCCCTCTATGTGGAACACACGAACATCTCATTTACTGACACCAGCACGTGTCAAATCTATAGAGACTACATTACCAGTGGCATCCTTTTGATTGTAGCAACTGTTTGTTCCTTACATGTACATTGCCACATTGCACTTCCATTTTGTGTCTGCTCATGCCTGGCATGAGATGGAAAAACAGCTCAAGCTGCAGCTGTACAAGACATTCAGCAAAACAAAACGCTTAACTAGGAAGAAGACAATGTTTTGCTGAGCACAGCAGTCTGTAATTTCACGTAGTGAGAAACAGTTCTCTCTGTCTACACTCCACTGAATGGATTTTAGAGTGTGCCTGGGGGGAGCCACAGATAATAACACCTTTGAGCAAAATGAGTGCCACGAGTGCTAGATATGATATAAAAAATGCCTATTTTAACCCAAAAATTCTTTCCCAAAGCCATTTTTTCTGTTTCTCTATAGTGCTAATTGTTCTAAGCTATGCAGGCCCTTGAAACTGCTGTGACAAACAAGAGGAGGACAGATCCTTTGTGACCCTAATTTACAGATGCTTGTGGAAGAAACAGCCCCAAGGCGGGAAAGCTGCAAGGAAGCCATTCAGATGCACACTGAGGCAGTGGTGGGGAGACCTATCCATTGTCACAATATTGCTTTCCTGCAAAAGTCAATAAATAGACAAGCCTTGCAGCAAACAAATCACATCAAACTAAGGAGAAAATGATAGCCAACCACAAGCAACTTCCCCAGTAAAATCTAACAAATCAAGGAGGACATAACTTCTTTGAGAAGTTTGCAGCTCTGATAGATTCAAATCACAACTAGTGCCAAGCACACAAACCAAAATTTTCAAGTGTGCTTGAGCTGTACTGGTGCCATAAGCCTGACAAAGTTCCAGCCCATATTTCTGCACACAGGCCCTGTAGTTTGGGAATGAAATAACCCCAATCTAATTTGGACCACCATGAGTTGTAGGTGTGGCATTTAGGGCCATGGTTTGGTGGTGGACTTGGCAGTGTTAGGTTTATGGTTGGACTCATTCTTAAGGGTCTTTTCCAAACTAATTCATTCTATGATTCTGTACTAGTTTACTACAAGATCACAGTTATGACCATTTCACTGTTTTGCTGGCAAAACCTCTTCAGAGGAGAATCCTTATGAGGAAGCTGTGCAACCAGTCTCCAGTGGTTGTCCTCAGATGCTTTTATCAAGAACCTTTTTGTCCTTTTTGTTCTACCAAGATACTAGAAAGAACCCAAAAGAGATTGTAAGCAGAAGAACAAATGGGTTGCATTTTGCTTAACACACAAGAGTATTTATAGAAAGTAACTTTGAACCACACAATCCGCTTGGAAATTTTCATATAGTTAAAGGGCAACTGGTTGTACAAACTAAAGATGACTTTTTTTTTTTT